TGCAGTGAATCAGAGTGTAAGACACTGTCTTCCACATAATCTTCCTTGGTGCCTGCAAGACATGACGCGGACGAAAAACGCATTCAAAAGTAATAATAGATGTGGGACACGTGCAGCTGCCTGAGAGAGAATGATCAACGCCAACGTTATCCTTTTTATGTGTTCTGGAGCATTTCTGCCGCGGGGAGGGTGATTGCAATTCGCGCGGTAATTAGAAATCCTAGGTCAATCCTGTAAAACTACATAGCTAGATATGCACCAGATTACTACCATTCTCACCCCATGTATCCGAATGATATATGTGAAATGTAATAAAAACAAATGATGGCTCGTGCCGTCGTGGACATCTACAGCCGTCAGTTGGGTCGGGTCAGCCCGTTTTTCATCTGAAGTTGCGGCCTAGGACGTGGGATAGTGTGGTGTCGTGCCAAGACCCGCTGGCACGCTTGAGCTAACTTTACATAACGGCCTATACCGTAGTACTACAGTAGTCCCGTCCACAAACCTTCAGCGACATGATGGACTTGTGAAGTGCGGCAACGTTTTCGATGGCTTTAGGACTGACAGCGTTACCGTCCACGTCCTCGAGTACGAACGAAGCGAATTTCGATCCAAAGATACTGTAGCTGTCTCGTTGTGCGTCTCGTGGCGGAAATAAGTTCATCAACTAAAAACCCTTTCAGTTTCTCAAATAATTAGCGCTTCTGCTGTCTCATTGTAACTTACCTCCTTGAGGTCGGATATGCTCTGCATAGTGTCCGGGAGAAATACCTGCAATGTATCATTGGTGGTGTTAAGCTGGAAGTCCATCGCGGTAGCCAGCACTAAAATCGGAGAGATTAGGAGGTTGACTTAAGAAGCAAACAGGGACAAATGGACTGAGAAATTGTACCTAGGGTGATGGTGAGGAAAGGAGGCACGACTATAAAGGGTAACGGCCATCGAACAACAACAGACGTCTGCCACTGGAAAGTAATTGTAATACTTATTAGAATGCGATAAAAAAGCGGATACGTTGAGCTACTGAAAGATTTCTCTTGCTCTTCTCAGAAAAGAAAATCAGATACAGTCGTGTTCGCTGCGGAGGATGGGGCGTGTCAGCGCGGTTACGTCTGCGCGATCCCAACCCTTTTCACTTTTTTTGAGGCAAGCGACGAGACTGTATCATATCGTTCGTACCAATCGTTTTACACCAGTTGTTGTCGCTCACCAACTAGTGGAGAACGAGTTCAACGCCAAGTGGAACCCATCCCGCCTGACACGCCCCTTTATCCGCAGCGAACAAGACTACATCATGTGGCTGAGACGCGGTGGGCATGGTTAAAGACTACATCGTATG